TATAAATGGAGCATACAAAATACTTCAGTATCAGCCAAAACTAATTAGTAGAAATATCTGCACCAAACTCTAAAACTGATTTAGTGTTTAATATATATTATCATATAAGCATTAGCAGTTAAAAGGAAATTCCCTGTGCAAATGTTTGCCAAGCTCAGTGTCTAATGTTCAGACATGATTAACTTACTAATTAACTTATTGCATCTTTGCTCACATATCATCTTTCTTAATGATTTCTTTTCTCACAAAAAACCATTTGATTTGATACCATGATCATAGATTTGACAAACTTCAAATGAAAAACTCAAATTCAGTTCTTCATCCCTGATCTGTCAATCTTGCCAGAAGTGACTTTTGTAGGAGGAGGGTGAGAACAAAGGGGGCGGTCTCTTGTATGGTGGAAACGGCCCTCTAATCTATGTCTATCCCTTTTTTACCTTCGTAAAGATTTTCTAAGAGAGTTTTGTAGTTACTGTTTAGCAACTAAGAATCTGTAAAAATAATGATGATTTCTACATCAGAATTGTGTTACTATGACATTGTGAGGAAAGTTACATTTAAAAATTACATTTGGAAAAGTAAACGAAGGGTAGCTCACACTCATTTTACAAATCAGAGGAGGTCGCTTGGTCTCCAGTCCCAACTATGTTTCCCAGATCTCCTCTACTTGGAGCTCACTCTGGTAGCCTGCGTGCAGCTGCACAGTCCTGTAACAGTCAGTATAGATGGTCCGGCTGTGTCTTTCAGGGCTGCTGCCAGGAGTGGTTAAACTTTTGTCATCGCTGGGCCACACTGGAAGAAGAAGAGGTGTCTTGGGTCACACGTCAAGTACACAAACACTAATGAAAACGGAGGAGCCCCCAAAAAAGGCTTTAAGAAAATTACAATTTTGTGTTGGGCAGCATTCATACCCACCCTGTGCCACATGCAGCCCGCAGGCATGGGTTGGACACCCCTTAAACCAATAAAAAGATGAAAGCTTAAAGCCAGTCACCCAAATCATTGAGGACCAGGGACCACCAATGCCAGCCTTACTGAAGTCACAATTATGTCCTCTTCTGATTTTATCACACACATAACAAGGAGGGCTTTGAACTCTTACTCTGCTAATTATACCTTTATGGTCTTGGAAAGACACCTAATTTATTGCAGCATCAGTTTATACAATCAGAACAGTAACATTTATCCACAAAGTTAGTTTGAGAATTAAAGGAGAAAGTGTGTCAGAAGTAAGTGTTTCATAAAAGCTGGCTATAACTACTGCTACTAGTGAATGTAGTTGTTCTATTTTTCTTTTACGTTACACAATGCATATCGGTCTATTTCAGGAAATTTGAACAAAATAAAAAACAAGAAAACAAGTAATCATATTCCATTACACCCAAACTTTTCTTTACAACTTAGTATTTAATAAGGGAATTGCATTTATTTTATTGTAATTGCCTGTGTGTGCTCAGTGCGGGGTGATAGAAGCTTTTCCTCCCCCGACTCTAGGACGTCCTGTGTGCGCACTTGTGAGTCCAGGAACGGGTTGTGAGCTCGCTTCCTGAGCCCTGCCTCGCGGTTAGGTCGCACTCCAAAGCACAACTTTGACTAAATAAGTTGGTTCAGGAGCTTTGGATTCAACATCATTAACTTGGTCTTTTATTGGGCTGGTATTATTAACATAAAAGGAGTAAGAGGAGTTGGTTAAAACATGAAGATGCCCATATTCTAGGGTTACCAAATTAGAGTCATATGATGTGAAGAATCTGTCTAGAAGAATCTAGAATACTCTGTCTAGAAGATTGATAAATTCCTGGTGTTGTATTCTTATAAAATGATTTTATGTGGCAGATATTTTTATTGTTTTTGTGAGTTCTTCTATTAAGGTCAGGAATTAGGAATTGTTCTCTTTTCCTCTTCCAGGTTTTACCTACATTACTAATAATGGTATAAGCACCTTCTGTCCCTTTTTTTAATATCCCCACTTTTTCCAATATTCTTTGTCAGGAAGTGACATTCTCATAGGGGAGAGTTCCTTAAGCCACAGAGGAAGGAGGGAGCAGGCTGGCTATCTGGGACTCAGTGGCCGTCATTTTCACATACGAGAGTCCACGCTCCCTAACAGGACCCACTGTATCTAGTAAAATGACTTGCCTTTAAATACAATATCTTTAGTAGAGATTGTAGATACAGACTAGATTTTTCAATTATATCATAGTAGGAAAAAAATGTTGATTTATGTTGCAACTTTGTAAATAAATACATATAATGAATTCAATAAAGGCATTTTGTATATATTTAATTATTGTGCTATATTGTTTACTAGATAGATTAATATGGTTTTAATTTCTATGAAATTATTTTTTATGACATTAACTTATGACTATATTAAAATTGTCATTAAGACTTTTTCCCCTAGATTCTGAGGGTTAGTTAGAACCGTTTCCATCCCATTGAAAGAATGTTTCATTTTAAGTCATACATGAAAAGTCAAAAAATTAAAAATTATAAATAGTTCTTCACAAAAAGATCATTTTCTCACATTTTTATTAAAATTATTATTAATCACTATTTAATATGCTTATTTAATTCTAGATAATTAATTATTGTTTTGCCTGGACGTTGGATTAAGCAGACACACTTGGGTTAAGGTGGCTAAGAACTATGTGCTGTTCCAGCCACTTAGGAGAGCAGAACTCCTGTGACCGCAGCTGAGGGTTCAACAGCACACCTCACACATCACCTTCCAATCTATCACACTATCACTTGAAGATTTTTTTATACCTCGTTGTTAGATAATGGAACTTTGGGTATTAACTTGGCTCATTTGGGTATTTCTATAATGCTTCTTTTATTCATTCTCTGAGAAAGAAGAAAAAGTCATGAACTCAGAATCCTTTAGATTTTATAGCAGGTCTTAAAATACTGGACAAGCCAGAAATAATCATTTCCACTTCATCTCCACTCCATTTATTGCAAATATTGTGGCTCACTCATAAAACTGTGACATTCACCAAGCAAAAATCCCCTTAGAAGTCAGAGCTCCCTCTTTTCTAAGCTATTCAGTATCAATCTTAATACAAACAAATAGAAAACTTTTCCCACTTATTTTTGACTTTTCTTGTAGCTTTGTCTATTTAAATCAGACATGCCTCCAGAGAACAAAATGATATATTTTTGACTCATTAATCTACAGAAATTTTCTCAAGAGAGAGAATGGGAGACAGAAGGAGCCACAGTTACTAAAGAGCTAGAGTTACAGAAATTGTACACGGCTAACTTCCACTTTTTGGAAGGGGAGCAAGGACATCTTTCATTTACACACACAAGCGCAAAGCGAACCAATGGCCTCAGTTCTCCATCTCTAGCTATATGTCCACTGTAACTGTGGAGTACAGTTTCCTGTGCCTGAGCAATCTTACTAGTCAGTTGCAGCAACTCGGGAGTAGGAAGGTCAAGGAGTAAAAACGGATCTCCAAGGAATACTTGTTATGAATTTCTCCTATCTGGAGCTGATGTCCATTTTAGTGGGCCCAGAATGATCTCGTAAATGATTTTAGTTACACTGATATTCAAGCAACATATAATACAGCGTACTCTGTAAGATACCACAAGCTTCAAGACAAACTAACAGAAAAGACAATGAAAAAGATTGATGTGAGATTCCCATCAATACCATCTATTGACATACCATCTATCAATATACTATCTATTACCCAAAAAGGACTAGATGAGTAAAATAATCAGAATCAGACTCAACATTTCAGTCCCCAAGGGAAGAAAAGGAAGAAAAGTAGCACTGTGAGACTGAATAAGACACATTAAAAACCAGCTTGCCTGGATGGTGTAGCTCAGTGGATTCAGTGCAGGCTGCAAACCAAAGTGTCTCAGGTTCGATTCCCAGTCAGGGTACGTGCCTGGGTTGCAGGCCATGACCCCCAGCAACCGCACATTGATGTTTCTCTCTCTCTCTATCTCCCTCCCCTCCCTCTCTAAAAATAAATGAAAATAAAATCTTTAAAAAAAGTTCTCTCTCATTAAAAAAAAAAAAACAGCTTAATGCAGATACCAAAACAGATACAGAGAAAAAAAATGCAGAAACAGAGCCAGTGCCATTCACCCTAGAAATCCAGAGAGGTGGGCCTGGGACTCAGAGGTCCCAGGGCACTTGCAGGGAAGACAGCTCTGCTGTGTGGGTTCACCCGGGCATTTCATCGGAACTTCGGCTGTGAAAGTTGCAGGAACAAAAGCAACTGAAAAGAATAAAAGGCTTTTTGTATGTGAACATTACAAGGAAACTAGACATCGGACTTTGGAAGACATTGAAAAACTGACTGCCATATTTAAAATACAACTGATATATAAAGGAAAAAACAGGCGCAAGATGACTAAGGTCACAGAGAGTCTGTCGATGATAGAAAGTCTGCAGTTTTCTCACACATTTATCATCACTGCTAGGGCTCTACCTGTATCAGTGGGAAGAGCTTGTCGCGGTCTCCAGGATGATCCCTCGCTGTCTGCGGCTCTGCGGTCCATGACCCTACCAATACAGTCCTATGCCTCTCAAGTGCTAACATTTGGAAAATAAAGTTAATTTTCAGAAAATTGGTAAGCAGAGTACCAGTGCCAAATAAGCTGAAGTAGTCTTTAGTTGAATAGCTTCTGGGACAGGAAAAGTATTTTAACTAACTTGCCCTCTTATATGAAAATGTTTAGTTCCTGAGATACTATGTCTCTCTTTGGAATAGTTGTGAACAAGCTTTCACAAGCTCACTTTATTTGGGGTTTTTGTTTTTTCAGAAGGTTAATTTTGTACATGTTGTATCCATTCTGGTATGTTTACCCTTTTTTGGAGAACCCTACTGTCATGTTCAGGCAACGTATATGAAGTCTGTGTACAAATGATCATCTATTTCCTGTTTGAATACATTCATCATTGAAATGAATGTAAGACTTTGCAAAGGTGCTTATTTTTCTTATTAACTATAATAAAGAGTTTAATATTTTATTTTTAGGGTACAACCTAGTCCACCTAAAATGGATAAACTTGACAGTAAAGTTAAAAGAATTGGACCACACATAGAAATTTTCCAAGTGTTCCGGAAAAGGAACAAACTCATATTCACCAAAAAAGTGATTAGAATGATCACCGTCTTGCAGGCGCACATTAGAGGGTGGCTCGAGCGCAAAAGACTCCGGAGAATAGTAATCAAGGTAAAGCCTACGTTAAACGTTACAATATAATGTATTTACAGTATAGTGTATTCACAATGCAATATCTAATACAGGTTCAGTTAAGTAGTATTTTGAATAATCACCTGGTCAGCTTATGGTTTTTCTACATAAAGTTCTGTCTACCTTGTTTGGATTAAGCAGGTGTTACGGATAACCTACTTTGATGGCTGTGCTAAGCTGGAGATTCTGAACAACAGGCCTGACTTATCCCTAACCGAACCCAGAAGAGTTCTAGCACTCCTTTCACTCGAGGGACAAGGCCCCCTATGTTTGCACTGATTTGGTTTCTCTTTCGCTCTCTGCTTATTCTCTATGAGCATTTAGATGGTGAGTGTGAGTGTTTGTGGAGATTAAATTTCTACAGGAAGTGGCAGAGAGATGATTAATAAAACACAGGTGAACTTCCAGGCCACTTTAAGAATCCAGATGCGGTTGGTACTCAAGAATTGGAGTGGTATCATTCCTCCTGCTTTTATAATTATATTTAGTAGTTACAAAAAGTAAGTCACAGAAAGGTAATGTAACTTATCTAAAGTTATACATCTAGCCAATGACATACTCAAAATTTGAGGATCAAACCAAAGTCTGTCTGGCTTCAGAAACTTTAAACCATTAGGGCATTCTGGTAACAATAATTTCCAATCATCATCGCAAACTTGTGAATTCTTTTCTTAAATCAAGCTCACCATGGACAATGGAATGTCCTGTCAACATCTGAGGCTAGATTAAACTCCCTTCTGATCCTATCGGTTCATTCGGGTATGCTCACATCAGGGAGATGATGTAGAGAAACATGGTTGCATTCACAGGAGGAGGCACCAATTCTTTGGCAACCAGGCATGGCCGCCAAGGTTTTACAGAGTGCATTGGAAGAAAACATGATTCTGTGATCCAGACACCCAAGACTGGGTACTTCATCTTCATGCTAATGAATTAGATATAGAATGACCGAGCAAATGCTTCAGGTAGTAATACATGTCATCACTCTGACCTAGGTCAGGGGACACGGAGAACAGGCCTTGAAAAGGAAGACCCAAACCTAGGAGAGAGGCATGACCTAGAGCTATGTGTACGTGGCTAAGGGGTTCACTAACTCTTTAGTGGGTGGGGAAAGGAAAGCAAAAGTTATGCTCAGTGTTATTTGTGGCTTGTATATTTAAGTGTGTGTTAATGTGTGCATACTATGTGCGATAACTACTCAGAATATTCCATTTTTATTTCATTGTCTACAGATTTAGTCATTTGCAAACCTTTTCTTTTTGTTTTTATAAGGTTTTGAATGAAGATCCTTTGAGATATTGTTCTGCATATGTGTTTAGACAAGTTTAGATTTTAATCAATGAATGTGATCAAGATAGGTCTATAACATTCTTTTAAAGTTAAACTGTAAAAAAATTGCTGAAATATTGCACAAGGGTTAAAAATGTCAGCACAGAAACACCTATCTCATAAACTGATAAAAAGTGATAAACTGATTTTTCCATAATAATGGAAAAATAGGCAGGAGACACGAGTTAGTACTTTACAGTAGGAGAATCATAAATGGCTAGTAAACATGAAAAAAGGCTACTCTTGCTAGAAAATGCAGTAAATTAAATCCCACTGAGTGTTATATGGTAGTGGGATTCTCCAACCATTACATATTTTTAAAAAGCCATAATCATATAAAACAAGGCAGACTAAAAATGCATACTAAAAATATTTTTAAGTGTTGAGGTATGATGGCTGAGTGTAATACATTTACCCTTTGAGTCAACAGGGATTAAAACATTATAATCAGTAATTTTTGATGAGTCTTTTATAATAGTGCTATTATAAATATCAATTTATACCTTTTTTGGATTAATTCTGTCTTGAGAAATGTTTAGAAACGTAAAGATTTACATACTGAGGTGCACACAGCATCGCTGCTGAGGCACATTGCCCTGCAGAAGCCTGGCAGGGAGTCATGCTACAAAAAGAGCCACAACTTGACCATGAAGACCTCTGGGGTAATCCTCCGAATGCCTCAGCTCTGAGGTTTCCCTCATAAGATGTGACCCCCAAATATTTATTAAAGTCCGAGGGAAAGGCACTCCGCTAGGCTCCGGTGGCAGCAGCCCAGAGCTCCTGCCCTCTTTACAGAGGTCATCATCTGTCTTAGTGGCACATGCCAAGCAGGGGCCTTTGGCTAATGTGTTTAGGGTACGATCAAACATTGCTTGATTCTTAATTATAAGCAAAAGAAACCTGCTGACCTGTGTAAGCAGAAAGATACTGAGTAGAATATTGCGCAGAGGTCTGAGAACTGAACTTACAGATAGGAAGGGATAATAAGCATAGCTCCTGGGACTCCAGCCAAACCCTGCCCAGAGAGAGCCTGATGAATCCTGGGTGCTCCAGCCTCCGCGGATAATGCTCTTGAAAAATGGGTGCTTGCAGCCGTGCTTGCTCACCCACACAAATAGATTTCCTACTCTTTGCTTTTAAAAGCATTATGAGTTTCGATTCAAAACCTGGGGCTGGTGCAGATAATGGATGGACTTTAGCGCTGTCTGCTTCCTAGCAATAGGAGGCCTAGGTCATGGGCATCCGATCTGTATCTCCAAACCCTAGGAGGTGAGTTCTGCCTCCCACTGAGATTCATAGAATGGGGAACACTCCAAAAGTGTGACCAATTCCTCATTTATTTTTAAAAAATGACCAGAACCTGTTGAACAAAATGCAAATTAAAAAATAGACATTGGAAAATGTTATTAAATGTTGAAAGATATTAACAAATATTCAGAATTTGCCTGAATTTTGATGGCATTCAAATGAGAGGAGTAGGAAGAAGAGGAAAGTAGTGACATTATGCAAATGATTTTTTCATGCAAGAGAATTAGGCAATGTTTTATTGATAATTTTGCTAAATTAAGAAATATCAAGTTAAGCATCACATTTAAAAATTTTAGAGAAAAAAATCACAAAATTAAGCGAAGGTAAAAAAATGGTAAAAATAACCTTTGAGGAGTCACACAAAGCAAAATAAATGACAAAAGCAAGCACAATCATAAGTGTTATGAAAGGAAACCTGCTAAGAAAAAAACCAAAAGAAAAATTCACAGAATAGTGAAAATACTAAATTTAAGTAAATTAAGAGGAATATAGTGTATAAATAAAAGTGTGGGCTCTGCAGTGTTCCTGTTTTGATTCCAACACCAATTCTGCAACTTAATAGCTCTGGAACCTTAGGAAAGTTACTTAAAGATTTTATGCTTCAGTTTTTTTCACTTGTAAAATGGTATGCAAAGCACATCAGAGGAAAGCTGATTCAGGAAAATTCATGACCTTTAAATACATTCTTAAAAATAATTAAAATAGCGAATTAAGTCTTTAATTCAAGAAGTTGAGAACAGGAGAAAAGGCCAAGAAAGGAATTAATTAAGATATATAGAAAAATTAATGAGCTGGAAGATGCAAAATGTGAAAATAATTAAATTATTAAGTAAAATGGAACTGGCTATGTAGAAAACAAAAATATCCTAAAATAGATGAATACTTTAATTTTTAAAAGTCTCTTGGAGTGAAGAAAATTCATAGATAGGAAAACATAGTTATAGATGAAAGATAAACTGATAAAACAATATTTGAACATATGCTAAAAAGAGTTAATTTTTTTAATAGTCAAAGTTTTTAGAAATCAACAAGAATAACCTGAAAAAATCCAGTGAAAACCAAGTAAAAGGTATGAACATAGAGTTTTCAAAAGGAAGAAAATACCAAGATTTTAGGACACAGAGTGTATATCGTTTAGGCAAGAATCGTTCAACACAAAATAATATTTTAATAAAATTTTCCTTTTTTTCTTTCTTTCTGGCTGGGTCAGCTACATATTATAGAAATCAGGACATTACCCTAAGAAGCTTCCGTGTAAGTATCCATCACTTAGAGCTCTGTGCTACAGGAAGTACGACTGTGATGACAAAGAAACTCATGGGAATTCTTTGAACTTCAGGGACATTGTCTTACTGCATAATCTTTGCATTAAACCAATCCAGAAACAATAAATACATCCATAAGCCAAGAAACAAAGTGAGATAGATAAAAGGAAAGGGACAAAATCAAATTAAATATAAATAGCAGAAGTACATACGGAGCTTTACTGTCTATGTTGCTATTTTATAGGCTTTGTATCATGGGCGAAATTTGAGAGCAGTCATAAACATATACTGCAGACTGATCCATCGCGTCAAATATCGACTTGGCCTTTGGAGGACGAGACAAATTATAAACTTCACAGAGTTAGAGGAATGGATGGATAGAAAAAAATGTAAGTGAAGTCTTTTGTGAATAATACTCTTTTGCAGAGAGTAATTTTTTATTTGATAATCTAGTTTGAATGTACCAATACAGTAGTATGTATTAAAGTGCGTGCTAGGGCCTATGATTGTTACACTGACCACTGTTTCTTTTCCACTCACATTATTTTTAGCTACTGACTTCCAAACCACTAACTGCCCCCACTATTTTTACTTGGTCTTATCTTCTCCCAAACTCTCTCACTGAATTTATTTTTTAATGAATCTTACAGAATCTTGCCTATTTTTCTTAGTTGAACTTTCCCTGATTTCTCCTCTTTGATACATAACTGTAGATTATACTATTTTTGCATTTAAAAATAACCTTTTCAGTTTGAAAAAACAAAAACCTAATGTGGCTATGTTTTCCAGTCTGGACTCTGGTGGTTGGTTTCCAGCTGAGAATCTGAGTAAAAGCCTTAAAGAAAGTTAGGGCGGAAGAATGCTCAGGGCAGAGGGAGAAGCAGGCACAAGGGCAGGAGGGTGGGGGGCAGTTCCTGTGGGAGCAAGCCAGCAGATGGAGGCGCTGGATGGGGTTTGTGCGCCAGTGCAGCACACAGAGAGATGGGAGAGGTCTCAGGGAGTGGGGACAGGGGCTGCATCAGGCTTTGTGGACCACTGGGTTTGACCTTGATGGAGCTGGGAAGTCTGTGGAGCATTGTGAACCAAGGACTATGGTGCAATTAAGACTTGAACGCATCACCCTGGCAGTTTTTGAGAACAGACAGTCGGAGGCAAGGACGTAAAGAGCTCTAGCTGGGACCAGTGGTGCTCTGTCTTCAGTAGACTCTGAACAATACAAGAGAATTAGCTAAATGAACGATTTAAAGTGTTACCAACTAAAGCATCATTTGCATTGAGGTCTAAAGTAATTCTAGAGTCCATAGAATTTGCAAGTTGTTATTGGTCTTCATGTTTTTTAGAAAATTTTTCATCTTCTACATTTTTTGATTGTTAATTGGGTGATAGCTGGCAGATATCCATGCACCTTTTTAAGTACCTTTCAAAGACCAGAAAATTTCATTAATTTTCATGATTTAAGTTTTATATTGACCCTAATTTTACCTGCCTAGAATATTAATTCTGCTAGTGTGCTGCCAAATATTTGCTTTTAGGAAATAATATACAGGTTAATGGCATTGTTATCCATCAGCAGTTACAAAGCCATGATATTAATATGTGTATTAATCTGATCTAGTAAGAGTCATCTAAAATGGATCAATTCAAGGACAAACTAATAACTCAAGGAGAAATGTATTTACTTTAACAAATAAGTAAAAAGTGATGTTCTTTGTGTTAGTTTGGGTTTCTCTAAAATCAGATCCTGAGATAAGAATTCAAGTAAAACTAATGTATTTGTGTGTTAATCCCAGGAAATACCATTAGCTTAATGGGGAAGTGAAACAGGGAAGGGGTGGAAGTCAAAAAAGAGTGAATTATCAAGCAGATTGTCACGTGGGCAACGTGACAGGAGCTTAATTCCTCTAGAGCACAGGTGGCAAACACAAGGCCTGAGGGCTGAATCTGGCCCTCTACTTTGTTTATCCAGCCCGGCACCTTGTTTCTACCCAGCGGCAGTACTGAGCTCTCCCTTAACTGTTAAGGAGTAGTTACATGTATACAGTCCTAAAATTACATTCGGCCCTTTGAAGGCAGCTGTGAGGCTGATGTAGCCCCCAGTGAAAATGAGCTTGACACCCCTGCTCTGGAGAACAGTTCAGCCAACTTGCCTCAAGTGCTGGGTCTTTATCCACTAGCCCCCCCTCCCCACTCTCTGTGGTTGAGGGCTGCTCCAGTGGGGGCCTTCAGTTCCTGGAGCTTCTGGCTGGCTGCTCAGGTGGGCAGAGTGGAGCTCAGCAGCCAGAGAGAGCTTTTAGGCAACGAAATGCAGAGGCTGGCGACTAAAAGTCAGGCCAGCATGCCCAGAAACATAAGGACAAGACGGTATGGATGGGGGTACCAACAGCAAATCCTCTAGTTTGTTTATTTGAAATGAGAGAAAAAGCCATGGATATACTAAATATGAACTCATGTTTATTTTGCTGCTGTGCTTCAGGATCTAGAATAGCTACTCATTTTTAGGCAATCACTAAATACTGCTTGAAATTGTCAATGTCTCATGACTGTCCACTTCAATTGAATGAGTGCATGAATGAATGAATGAATAAACAGAAAGTTGAAAGCCATATGGTTTTGTGCCAAGATGATACATTAATTTTGTTAGAAATCCCTCTTGGGGCCCTTTGTCATCTGGAGCTCATATTTCAGAGTGAAACCTGTACTGATATAAAATCTGTCATCCTGTATGCTAATTATCAATCAGCTAATCCACGTACTTAAGAATAGTGACTCAATGTCACCATTTTGAAATGAAAAAAGAAAACATTTATGGAGAACTGCACTTGCAAAATGTATGTGTCAATTCATTGATGTTCCAATTCATTGATGTTCTTGGTCATTACCTGACCCCTTTCTAATGCCAAGTATGGGAGACAGACAGGTAAAGGATGACCCACCTGAGTCATTTTCTGTGGTTGCCTTGAGCTAAGAATAGCCAAGTGCCTTAAACTAGTAAGCAAGACTACAAGAAGTCAGTGAAACAACAGACATCGTTCCATTTAGAAGCCAAAGCAAAATAGAAAAATCTGTTCAAAGAGGAATCAGCAATTCAGGTAGTTAGAATGTGGGTAGAAGTCCAAAAGGTGTGAAAAATTGGGGGAACTAATAATAAATACTGAAATGAGCCAGCAGAAGTCTGGCCTCCCAGAAATCTTGGCACAAAAGCTAGGTCATATGACATAGTTTCAGCATTCATGTCTGTAAGGTCTGCAGACTACGGTTATGTGCACCAGGCCAGAGGATGCCAGTGATCTCCTTGGGGAAGAGAGTCCAAATTTCACCTCCTTCCGACCTTCTGCAGGAGGACCACCCAGTGCTGCTCTAAGTGTGGAGGCTTATCATTAGACATAAAATGAAAACCGGGGTTCGAGTTTCTTCAAATCTAGAGGAAACTTTTCAAGGTGGTTTGTAGCTGAAATAGTATTTATAAACAAAATATTTTCTTTTTCTTCTAGTCTATGAAACAATGTTTGCTAAGAGAGAAGATTGGCAAGGGTTGCAAAAAAGTGAGCTCCTTAAGTACTTCAACGACTGTGGCCATTTCCCGATCCAGCAGCAGATTGACCACGTTTGGAACCTGGTCCACAGAGGCAAGTCACTTCTCAGCTGTTGTTTTTTTTTTCTTCATTTTCCCCTTCTTTTTTCCCTTCTGTTTTCATCCCTTTTTCTTTCCTCCCTTTCTTCTCTTTTATTGAACTTGTCTTATAAATCCTTTTCCTCAAATTTATTTTATCTGATTTTAATATATATGAAGAAACAGGTTTAAAAGTTCAAAGTTCATACGATGAACTTTTTTGAGGTAGATGAAGGAGATGATTTGAGCTTTTTAAGCTTTTAATATTTTTTTTGCTATAAGTTATATCTAACAGTGTATTTTCTTACCACCACATTTTAAATACTGATGCTATGAACTTACTCGTAGATAGTTAGATTTGGTAGTAAAAAACATAAATGTTTACATGTTGTGAATTATTTCAATAAAATAGTACTTTACAGTGAGAAAGTCATTTGTTTTCCAAAGGGTAAATACACGAAAGGCTAGTGCTGTATGAAAATATGTAAATGGCATGACATTCCTCCTTCTCAGAGCCCTTGTAAAGAGGTAGAAATTGTCATTGGGGTGTGAAAAGTCTCAGTGAATTTTCCTTTACTCCTGGAGGTTGTTCTCAAGTAATATTCATACTATTGTCAGGGCTTGCTGCCGTATTTAGAGAGGACGGCATGGCTGTATCCACAATTTAATTGAGAAAAAAAGGCAAACAAACTTATCAGGACCTTTTTAGATGGAGGAATAGAGCTCACATGCTAGTAGGAAGAAGGTGTGTTTCAGGTCTGAGTGACAAGGTTCAAAGTTCTTCTCTTCTTTTGTTGGTCCTTCGTGTAAATTTACCTGATTCTTTACCGATGGGCTTTGCTTTAGCACTGCTGTACCCCTAGCATCTAGAATGCTTTTCTGGACTCTTAAACGTGTGTTCACAGGGTAGCAGAAGCATCCAGATCACTTGGTGCTTTAGCGGTCATGATTAGGTTGTCTATTTGTTTAAGCACCTTTTGTCCTGATGGCAAAAACATTATAGAAAATTTGAGAACACGGTAATACATAAAGTTACTAAGAAAGAGCAACTATTAACATTTGAAGTCTATCCAGTTTTTTTTCTGTGCATAAGACATTTTTTAATAAAAATTAAGGTTATTTTCTACATGTTTGAAAATCTTCTCTTTCTGCTTAACAATACTTATAAGTTTCTAAGCCATAAATACATTTCATAATACTATTTATACTGAGTAAGAATCTATGGTATATTTACTGTTGTACATTTAAATTATTTCTACTTTTCTTTATAATAAATAATAATAAAATGAAAAATGAAATATAGCAAAATACAATTCATCGGGCATTTCAGAAATTTACACTGATTGTTGTTTGTAATTTGAAATGTAAGTTTTTATTTTCAAATTAAGTTTCATAGAGACATTTTCTCTACTGATTATTTTGGAGTGTATTGTAAAGGCTTCAGTTTGGAGCATGGCTCTGGAATTAAATTGCCTGAGTTTAATACCTGGCTCCACCACTCCCTTGTTGTATGTCTTTGAATAATTTATTTCTGATAAGCCTCAATTTTTCAACTCTAAAAGGGAGATAATGCTATCTAAGTCATTGGACTGTTGGGAGGTTTAAACGAAATAATTCATATAAAATGTATTTCCCATAATACGTACTCAATAAACATTTGCTAGTATTCTCAAATAATTTTTAAGTATGCTTAATTGTAAGAACCACATTTTGATAATTATTTTGAGAATGTCTAAATATTGAACCTAATTGTATAGTGACTCGTTTTTATGGGATTATTTACTGAACGCCATCCATTGGCTCCTCCCCCCATGCCATCTCGGGTGGTTTTCATAATGACCTGTGCTCTAGAGGAGGCGATGTGCTCACTTCCGCTAATTTTAGAAATGAGGCCTGAGATTTAGAAGGAGACTTTCCTAAGCTCATTAATAGACCTGGAACTTTTTCCTGGTCTCTTCAAATGAAGTTCAGTGCTCTTTCCATATTAAAATGGAAGACACTTTAAAAGTCAATGTAATGAAAAATGAATGATTATAACATTTTTGACAGCAAGGACTGCCTTTTATTGATATTTCATAGACCAGCTGAATGTGTTACAATATAGTAGGTTTTCTTAAATGACTGAGTCTATTAAATTTCTCATAAAAACTAAAATTAAAAAAAAAGCTTAGTTTAAAAACACTGTTTTATTATAATGCCCTAAAATTGGGAAGCTTTGCATTATAGAAAGGAGTCAATTTAACATGATTTTAAATATATGTCCAATAATGTTGCTCCAAAACAAGTTAGAAAAATTATTTTAATGCATGAGAATCTTTTATTTAAAATAGCGATATTCTAAATAATGGAAAGAAAAAATATGAAAAATGGAGCTAAATTAATGGTTTTCTACTTGCTTCTGCAAACTATTCCATTTATAAGAGAATTTGATTTTATGACTTTTAGTTTGTCAGTCATCTTCATTCATACTGACTTCTTTGATTGCGGATAATAGTTCCAGGTGTGCAACCTACGCATTTTTCATTCAGCAGAATATTTCACCTAATGCATATGCAGTGAATTCAATTGATTAACTTCTTTAGTATATGACACCAAGTAGGTCAAATTCCTAAAACTGTCTGTATGTGTTCAGGTATTTTTAGCTCTTTAAAATTCTTCATTCTTATCACTATGGTAACAAAAAAAAAAGTTGTGACTGAAGACATGATTTTCATCTGAAAATCGTCCTTTGAAAGAGTGAAGCAACTTTAGGCTTCATGTACAGGCTGATCTTAAAAGCTGAATGCTGTGCAAACATGAGAACCTTCCTTGATATTCATGTAAATCTCAATGAATGAAACTAATAACAATAGAATAACATACTTGAAAGTAAGGAAAATAACACATTGTGGTTCTGTATTATCTATTCTCACATCTGCCTAATTTTTAGAAATGTAAACTTTGAAGATTCCCCAGTATGTTTCAAACATGTAAATAGAACTTTTTGTTTATTATCTGAAATTAAAATGTACAGCAAACAACTATGAAGAGAAGTCTAGTTTCACTGTGGAGCCCTAGACAAAAAAAAACTTAAAATAAAAAACACTGAAGGTCCTCATTTGTTACTTAAGTGGATAGACGCTATACATCTGGAGAAACTATGGCTTGTGATAGAATGTGGTCTATTTCAGACTCCCTGACTAGTCAGTGGCCAGCTTACTATTTCTGGACCCCCTATTCCTTGGAGCACAGGGTTTAGAAAGGTAGTAGAGGATTCTGGGGTAGAAGAAAAGTGAGACACGGGCACGTGCTGGTGGTGAAGGATGATGTGTTAGGGGCAACCTGTTACCTCTATTACAATGAACCACCTTCTCACGTTATATGAAAAAATGTTACAATACACACAAAAAGAGATAAAATGAAAAATACTGGCAATGTGATCTTCCAGAATGACATGAGGCTACTCACTGGGGATCAACGAGAATAGGTGGCCAGGTCCTCTAAAGGTCTCTTAGTGCCGCCATTAACATTTGGAGAAAGTCTATGGCAGTCTGTCTTCCTTTTATATACAATAAAAATGTGACCACCCTATTTTTATGTTGCTGGTACAAATCTCAGTCCACAGACTCCCTGTTTTTTCTGTGAGGAATTAATTTTTATTTTTAGCTCCTAACTACAAGAATTTAATTTTGGTCCATTTGGCTTCCATTCTCTTTTTCTGTGATTGTGGCTGAACAAAGACGGCAGGCATGTGTGTGATGATGTAGTGTGTGGGGTGTCCCCTTGATCTGCAATATCATTTGTGAACACAGGTGTTTCCTAGTACGTGTCTGCTGGGGCAGCTGCAACAAATCCCACAGACCCTGTGGCTAGACAACCGAAGTGGGTGTGGATTGTGGATTGCTTTGTGTTTACCATACATTGGGGTCATTGAAAATGTTGGATCTGTAGATTCATGTTTTGCATTAAATTTGGCAATTTTTTAGCCAATCATTTTTGCACATTTTTCTTTCTCTTTTTTCCTCCTAGGACTCTTATTAAACCTATATTAATAGAATTAATGTTATCCTAGAGGTCTCTGAGGCTGTTTATTTGTTTATTTTTTAACATAGTTGCTCTCTTCCTAAAAGTAGATATCTATTGATGTATCTGCAAGTTTCACTGTTTCTTTCTTCTGCCTTCTCAAATCTGTTGCTGAGCCCATGTTGCAAGTTTTTCATTCCATTGTTATATTTTTCAATTCTAGAATTTAGTTACTATTCATAGATTATATTTCTCTTGATAATCCCCATTTTTGAGTAACTGTCATGTTTTCTTTAATTTTTAAAATATAATTTATTTCAATTATTTGAGCATATTTATAACAGCATTTCTGAGGTCTTTGTTTGCTAAGTCTAACAAGAGTCAGTTTTTATTGACCCCTATTTTTCCTTGGTTATGGGTCACACTTCTTTGTTTATTTGAATGATTAATTTTTAAAAAATAGCTTAATACTGGACATCTTAGCTAGCATGTTGTTGCAAGTATGGATTCCAACCTCCTGCACTCCGGAAGTTTATTTGTTAATTTAGTAACTTGCCTAGACTTAATATGTGGAGTCTGATCTGTCTGCCCACCCTAGTGTTCAGCTGTTCATTCCTCTGCTCAGTTACTTTAATTTTTATAGTTTTAGGATGGCTTCTCAAAAGGTCATCTCTAACCTGCATGACTTAGTTGTCATCCTGTGACTGCAGAGAGTATTTACTCAAACAGCTTGCTCCCTGATGTTCCACCCTCTGCATATGCATCTGTGTGGGCTGGGAGCACATGCAATGTTCAGTGTCCTGTCTGCCTCATATTTTATTTTCCACTGGCACTCCTGGGTCTTTCCTGTTCACTGCTGATGTTTCTCAGTGAGCTTGGGATGTGGGGAGGTTATCAAGTTCTTCTATGACCTTCTCATTTCCAGAACCTGGCTATTAAATCTCTGGCTGGCTTGTCTTTGCCCCAGCTCAGGCTGAACCTCCAGCTAAGAGAGAACTTTAGCTTCTCTCCATT